CTCCCCGCTTATGCAAATGAAGCCCGGGAAATTCAAATCCCGGGCTTCATTTGCAAGTGTGGTATGCCTACATTGCCCTCCTAGTTCGAACTAGCGGGGTAGTGTAGACATACCCTGGGAGCTAAGGGGTTCTGTGCCTGCAGACACGCCAAGTACACAAAATGTCTCCATGCAAGAGCGACTTACCTTGATGCGATGGGAACTGAAGTTTGCCAATCCCCTGAGCTATAATGACAATCCAAATCTGTTGAAAAACCAAACCCCGCTCTTCAATGCTTCACTTTTTACCCCCCAAAACTGGCTTATAAATGAGTATGTATAAATAAAATCACTCTAGTCTGTCCAGCCTGCCAACCAGCTCTTGCTTTTTGAAAGTTTCAATTTCTCTGTCTCAGCAGACTAAAGCCTGGTCTGTCCTGGCAGTTTAGGGTGATTTTCTAAACTATGAATCCACACCACAAAGTCCTTTCCATCAACTTTAAGGGCCACTGAAGTCAATTTGATACTCCTGCTTTTCATGAAGAGTGATGTTAGATTCAACCTTGCGTGATAGGTTTTCCGGTAGTGCAGATGCAGCAGCACTATGAAAGTTTGCATTCTTAGTCTCTGGGAGGTATCTCCTAGTGCCCAATGTGACCGCTCTGGCCAGGATTTTCAACTCTGCTGCTCTCCAGATGCACAGGAAAAGCCCCCAGAAAATATGAATTTCATTTCCTGTGTGGCCAGCATGGCAAGCAGACCTCAGACCAGGCAGCCACCTTAGCAGCACACCTGCCCATGAATACCCAGAGTCGCAGTCAAGCTCCAGCATAGAGTATGCAGGAGATCCTGGACCTTATTGCTGTGCGAGTAGAGGAATCTGTTCTCAAAGAACTGTGAACCAGCCAAAGAAACAAAGATGTCTATGCCAAGATCGCAAAGGGCATGGAGGAGAAAGGATACCCCAGGAATACCCAGCAATGCAATGTGAAAATAAAGGAGCTAAGGCCAAAGCACAGTTTGGATCACTGACACAAACATGCCACATGCGATCCTTGGGGGGACCCAACCAGCTTCCCTATCCAGTCCATTGCTGAAGCTAGGTACAGTAATGGGGTGGGTCACAGTGGCTTAATGGGTATGGCATCAGCCTCTGGACCCTGGGATTTTGGCTTAGAGATCCATCCACGTCTGCCTTCTCCACTCCTGGAGCAGATGGGCAACTTTCTCCAGGGCTAGAGGTGGCATCAGCTAAAGGTAGGTAGCGTAAGGCATGAGCTGAAGGCATTCCTCCCAAGAGAGGCAGCCTCAGGCAGCAGCATGGAGGAAGGCGTGGATAAGGAAGAGGAGGAGGATGACATTGGTCAGCAGGCAAGTGGGGTTACCAATGTCACCGACAGCCAGGACCTTTTTAAAACTTTGGAGACAATCCCTTCCCTCCCGAGATGTCTCACAGCCAGGCCTTAATGTTGGGGAGGGCACTTCTGGTGAGTTCACATTTTTTATCATGCTACAAATGAGTTAAGGCAGTTGGGTGGGACCACTGTCCCTACACAGCGGGGACTCCCTGGAACAGCTTGCTAACGTGTCTGTGGACTAATCAGGAATGCTCCTTTTACAGCTCCATAGAGGAACTCTTTGATTCTTCTCACAAGATTTCAGGGAAGGATACCACGCCAGCAGGATGTGACCTGACATCACTGCAGCACAAAGCATTGCAGCATGAGGCCCAGATTTCTGGCCACTTTCAGTCAGCATCTGCTCCTTATTACTCTGTGTGATTCAGAGAGGAATGATACTGCGCATGGCAACCTGGATGAAGCAGAGGACGCTATTAACTGATGCCTTTGCAGTAAAGCACCATTTGCTCATTCCCAATAAATCATGGCTTGAGCCCCTGCCCTGCAATCACATTCGGACTCCCTCTTCACAGAGGCTTGATCCCTGGCCTGTCCTTACCATGCCTGACACCAAACCAAGTCCATCTACTTTCCTAAGATCTCTGTGGTGTACCTGCTGCATAGTGGGCACTGAAAAGAGTAATTGTGGCCTTGTACATAACACATCCCTTTTGTCTTTAAATCTTTTATGCTAAGGGATTAGGTTTTACAGTCGACAGTGTATCTCCTGTAAAATCTGCCCTTCACTTTTCGTAGGAGCAGGTGCTGCAGCAAGCATGCTGCACACTCTCCTGGCTCTGCCAGCTGTCTGGCTAGCACAAATCCACAAGCAAAAATGTGCTAGGGAAGACATGTTCAAAAAGCAAATGCAATTCACTCATTTGGACATGGAGTAGTTAAATGAGTGGAGGAATATGCTGCTGTAGGAGATGCTAGCAGAGCATGAGGACAGGAGACTGAGCAGCGAACAGGAAGTGAAGAACCATGAGAGAGGCCTCAAAAGTGGCAAGGAGTCCTGTGGCACCTTATAGACTAACCGAAGTGTTGGAGCATAAGCTTTTGTGAGCAAAGACCCACTTCGTCAGATGTATGTAGTGGAAATTTCCAGAGGCAGGTATGAATATTCAGGCCAGAAATAGGCTAGAGATAACAAGGTGAATCCAATCAGGGAGGATGAGGCCCATTTCTAGTAGCTGATCTGGAGGTGTGAATACCAAGAGAGGAGAAGCAGCTTTTGTAGTTAGCGAGCCATTCACAGTCTTTGTTTAATCCTGAGTGGATGGTGTCAAACTTGAAGATGAACTGTAGCTCAGCAGTTTCTCTTTGAAGTCTGGTCTTGAAGTTTTTTTGCTGCAGGATGACTACCTTTAGATCTGCAATTGTGTGTCAAGGAAGATTGAAGTGTTCTCCTACAGGTTTTTGTATATTGCCATTCCTAATATCTGATTTGTGTCCATTTATTCGTTTACGTGGGGACTGTCCTGAGAGAGTCTTGTTAGCTATGGTGAATGCATGGTAGCCATCCAGGACAGCTACATGCACAGGAACCCCTCTTCCCCCCCCCCCCCCCATTCCCTATCATTGAGTTCCACAACCTCCTCTCTCAAGAGCAAAGGGAAGAGGGTGTCAAAGGGCAGCCTCACACTCAACCCCCAAGGATACATCGCAGAGCAGCAGTAGGCTGTCTTTCTTACACCTAAGACTACAAACCGTCAGAAGCTCACACTCTGAACTCCTTTTCTGTCTCTGCTGTGTTTCCTCAATAACAGTGTATATTTTCTGAACAACAGTCTTATTATTCCAAAAGCTTCAGAGGGGCAGCTGAGTTAGTCTGTAACTGGAAAAACTTTTAAAAAAAGACTATTTGTTATGCTATTCATTAACCCTATGCTAGACTATGCATTGTTTTTAAGTTTTTCCCGGTCTTTTTATTGCTTGTGCTTGGAGGAGGGAAGTGGGCAGGAAGATGTTACAGGAAAGCAAACTTAATGCAGGGCCACCTCATTAAGAGCACCATGCATGACTCTCATCTCACTATCTGGCCACTTATAAAACTGTTTTTCAAACCTCTTTGATTTGCAGTGCCCTTCACTGTGCTTTCCTTATTGGCCTAGTGTCTTACTACTCATCATTGCTGGCTAGGTGCTGGGCTCCCCACCCTGCCATATAACTTTTCCCCCTTACTCTCACAAACATTATGGAACACAGAGCAGGCTGCTACAACAATAGGAATGTTGCTTTTGCTGAGGTCTAACAGAGACAGTAGACTGTGAAACCTTCCTTTTAAAAATGCCCCAAAGGACATTCTACCACCATTCTGCACTTGCTCAGCCTGTAGTTGAACTGATCCTGCTGTGGTCCAGAGTACCTGTATATGGCTGCTTCATAACCCATGGGAGCAAGGGATAAGCAGGGTTTCCAAGGATCACTACTGGCAGTTCAACGCCTCTGGTCTGAAAAGAAAGTTCTAGTTTGCAGTTTTCTGGAGAGAGAGGAGTTCCTAAAGATGTGCCTTTCCCAATCATTCTACACTGATGTCAGTGAAACAGCCCTGGCAATCCACCAATACCTGCAGCTAAATGCAGAAGTATCCCTTGTGGTTTACAGACTCTTTGGCAAAGTGGTCAGGTGCCAAGATAGAGATGTGCGTTCCATCTATCTCCCCACCACAGTTAAGGAACCCCATCGCAGCAAAACACTCCATGATGTCCTCCATCTTTCCTAGAGACACTACCCTCTGTAGCAGAAGAGCATTCATTGCCTTGGCTACTTGGATCATAATAGCCTGTACTATTATCATAGTACTACTTGGATCATAATAGCTTGTACTGTAGATTCCCCCATCCCCCAATTGAAGCAAGGCCTAACTGCAAGAATGAAACATGATAAAGAAAACTGCTTATTGGGAGAAAATGATGAGGATATGTCTGAAGAACAATGTGGATCAATTTCTCAATGCATCATTCTTCAAGACTCTCTCTAAGCCTTTTCGTATAAGTGTGATTTAACAAGTCAATTCCCAAGTAATTAGCTATCCTAGATGTTGCTAGAAAAACACATTGAGCTTAAACTAACCCTTATGGCTAGTTTAATTAGTCAAGTAGGGTTAGAATCTATGATCCAGGTAAACCGTACAGAAAGATGCAGTTAAAAAAAATATACGGTTTGTCTACACTACACAGTTATCTCAAGATAATTAGCATTATTTTGAAATAATGTGAGCATCTGCACATTCATTACATTATTTCAAAGTAACGGACAGCTTATTCTGAAATCTGTAAACCTCATTCTATAAGGAATAATGCCTATTCTGAAACAGATATTTCAGAATAAGGCGTGTGTAAACGCTCCATTGCTGCTATTTCAAAATAGCCCCTCACCAGGGTCATTTTAAGTTGTGCCTCCTGGGGCTCTAAATCAAGGTAGCACATCTACATTAGGGAAGCCTGACTTGGACTAATTTTGTGGCTTCCCTGCAGTGTAGATGTGCTATTTTGAAATAAGCTATTAGAATAACTATTCTGCAATAACTTATTTCAAAATAAGTGTGCAGTGTCAATGTACCCCTAGAGTTGCCATTTACCACTGTCATTTTCTTATTTTATATTATACAGCCGCTCCCCGGGTTATGACCACCTCCACTTACGACCATCCGCACTTATGACCAAAGCGATCGTAAATGCTGATGCAAGTTACGAATGGCGATCCGCGCTTACGAACAGCGCGGTCGCCATGTAACTCTATGGGATCCGAGTTACGAACACTTCGAGTTACAGACCAAGGGTTGGTCCGTAACTTGTTCATAACTCAGAGAGCGGCTGTAGAATACATGCCTCTTATTTTGGAACATCATGGTCACTGACTATAATAGCGATACCCTAAGTCTACTCCTTATTTTACTTCAGTATAACTCAGCGTTCCCAAAGGAACCCCATCCTACACTAGTTTTCAATGGGTCTTATTCCAAAGCTAAGTGCACTCTAAGTGCATCACTGTTAGCATTTCTGGTAACTTGGTCATGACAATGAGACTGGGGAACCTAGTTGGAGCAGTTTTAAGGACACTATACATTTAGTGTTCTGAGGACTTGTCTGTTACCTGTTAAAAGCATGTTTGCTGTAAACATTTCACCAATTTAAAAGCTTCTCCTCAGAAGATCAAAAATACAGAGTCAGAATTCCTTCAGAACCCGCAGAACCAATGCAATTTTTTCAGGATACCTCTTGTATTTCTGAAACTCTATCTTGCAATTTAACTCACTCCACAGTTATTCACACCCTTATATTTTAAATATCCTATATTTTATTGGGTAACATATTTTGATGAACATAAAACTTCATAAGGAATAACCCTTACGTACTGTACTGTAAATATAAAGAGTGAAATGTTTTATTACAGAAGTAGAATGACCTACTAAACATGAATAAAACTATTTTTATCAGTTTTCTGATATGAGCTAGACATTTCTAACAAATACTATTGAATAAAATCAGAAACTCTGAGTTTTGGAGGAACGTTTCACTGATTTTTAACTAGCACAAAGTCCGTTAGCTCCTTTAGTATTGATCTACAATGTACTTTCAAGCAAGTTTGATCAAAACCCAGTAGGGACTCTATATTGAAAAGTAGACAGCTAATACTCAGACCAAACAATCTATGCCCATACAAGATATTTCTTTTTACAACAGTTGCTATAGAATTTTTTTTGCCCTTTTTTGGGTGTTCCTCTAAGCTGCACTCACATTTTCATTATACTATTTATACAGATTCAGATGGAACACTCAAGTTAAATACAAAACATTAAGCTAAAACTATATGATCATATTAAAATCAAAATCAATCTGGGTTAGCAGAGAGATTGTTGCTTTTCACCTTTAGTAAAATTTAACTACAGCAATAAATACATTTCAATTATTTCCAGTCATAGAACTAGGTCAGAAATTTCTTACTCAGCTTTCTTTTGTGGCCAAAAAGGTGCAATGCTTATATCAGTTGCTCATTATCATTAATATTAAAATTTATTTAACACATGTAATACTGTTTTGGTATACAGTAGTTCTGTGTTGGTTTCATTATGAGAACAAAGGGAATGGTATCTCCAATACCGCACTAACCAAATGCTGAATCTTTAAAAACCATCTCTACTTTTATAAAGCCATTGTGCTTTGTAACAAGAGAGCATGTTATAATACCAGCAGGAAGACACCATGGCTGTGTCTAGACTGGCCGCTTTTCCAGAAAAACTTGCCAGCTGTCTACACTGGCTGCTTGAATTTCCTCAAAAGCACTGACAATCTCATGTAAGATTGTCAGTGCTTTTGCGGAAATACTATGCTGCTCTCGTTCGGGCAAAAGTCTTTTTCCGAAAAACTTTTGCGCAAAAGGGCCAGTGTAGACAGCAGAGATTTGTTTTCCACAAAAAAGCTCCGATCGTGAAAATGGCGATCAGGGCTTTTTTGCGGAAAAGCGCATCTAGATTGGCCACGGATGCTTCTCCGCAAAAAGTGCTTTTGCGGAAAAGCGTCCTGCCAATCTAGACGCGCTTTTCCGAAAATGCTTTTAATGGAAAACTTTTCTGTTAAAACCATTTCCGGAAAATCATGCCAGTGTAGACGTAGCCCATAGTTTTTGACATTCTCATGGCATATTAGTAGCTAAAGATCCAGATAGTAAGTAAGAACAAAACAGGACTTTATTGCCATTTCAACTTGAGATGGCGCCAATAACATTTACCAAAATAGTTTGAATTTAAAGACTTCTCCTCCTGCTGTTATTTACCTATACAAAAATCTAGATTTCTTTTGGAATAAAAAATTAAGCCACAGTGAAGACCCTACAGGCACAAAGTATATTTATCCTTTAAATGCAGCTGTGACTCTCAATACAATCCTCAAGCTAAAAATGTTATAGGTGAGCTAAGATCAAGCATAAAAGTACTGTACCTAATTAAAAGGCCTAGCCTACAAAAAAATCATTGCTGCACCCACTGCCAAATCTATACCCTAATTTTGGAAGAAGAGTTAGGACAAATCACATCCCATTGCACTCCTTGACAAATTATCTCAACAGCAATACAGGTTGTACCTTTCTCAACAGGGACTCATTGGTCCAGCAACATCCCTAGTCCAGCAAGGACCACAGATGTTCCTGGACCACAGAGCCCAGGAAGAGGGAGGTCTGGTGGCGGGCAGGAGTGCCATAAAGGGCACCGGCGACTCAGCCAGGGGCCCAAAGAGTGTGTGTGTGGGGGAGGGAGGAAGGGGGAAGGAGGGATGGGCATCATAGGAGGGAGTTCTGGCCCCCTTGGCTGGGGAGCTCTAGCCAGGCCATGGCATGGCCCTTCGGCCCCGGCCAGGGAGCTCTTGGACTGTCCCATCTGAGGAGTTCTAGCAGCTTTCTGGCTCCAGCGGATGGGAAACTCCAGCCCCAGTGGCAGCCAGAGTGCTCTAGCCTGGGTTGCAGAGTTCCGTCCCTGTCCCTCCACCCTGGCTGCTGAGCTCTGGTTCCAGCCATGGAGCCTGGTGGCTGTGCAGCTCTGGCTGTAGAGCTCTGGCCCTGGCAGCAGTGGGGCTGGGGAAAGCCCCAGGGGGCTGAAGCAGCAGAAGGGGCAGGCTGGAGCCTTAGCCCAGTAGCAGCACACCAAGAGGAGAAAGATCTTTTCTGGTCCAGCAAATCCCCTCATTCGGGACCAGTCCGGTCCCGAGGGTGCCAGACAAGTGAGGTCCAACCTGTAGTACACCGATATATGTACTCTTCAGAAACTGATATTAGCCTTTCTTTTAATGCACTTTTGCAAATGTCTCAGTCTTGTCATTACTCAAGGTTTGGTTTGGGTCAATTTCCTTAATATTTTAATGTTAGATGGTTTATTATCCCCTTACTTCCTGCACAAAGAGAATATAATTTCAGTATATCTTTCTCTTGAATGGCTTAATCTTTCTGTTGCCTAACTTTCTGAAGGGAAGCCAGAAATTTTTAGGGTAGAAAATAAATCATAGCAGTTGTTTATAGTCATTACTCTTTTTTAATTACATATGTTTTTAAGGAAGATTATTTGTTTCATTATTGTATGTAAAATAGATTCTTTCCTCCTTACTTTACCTTGATTAATTACATTTTTATCATACCAGTGTTTAATCTCTACCTCTCCAATATTTTAACAGTTTTTCTCCTTTGCTTATTTTTGTGATGTTCAATTTAATTCTTAACAAGCATAGACTTTCATTCTCATTCATTACATTTACTCTTCTTGGTCAAAATCAACCTGTTTTCTTCCTCAACTTTTCCTGTTCTGAACAGACTGTCGGTAGGCATATCTAGTTAAGCAAGAAGTTTCTATACCATGAAAAGAGGTATTACTTGACTGTTTTACGGTATATTTCATGCTTGGGATTAGTGACTGCTGTCTTACACCCTGGCCAGACCTTCTTCCAGGGAATTCTATAAGGATCAGTAGGCAGCTGGTCTGCTGATGCCTTCAGCATAGCATATAAATTCTCTTATCTGTGGGGAAATATTTATTCTTCTTTGAGTGATTGGTCATGAGCATTACAAGTGATTCAGGTGATTGGCCATGTGCATTCCAAGTCAGAATTCTCTGGCGGATAGCCTCAGTGGTTTGTTTTGATGCCACGATTGGTCAAAGACTTTATCTAATAAGAATCTCGATTTTGCCAAAATATGCTCCAACAAGAAAGTGTAAAATAAAGTGGAAAGAGTACCAACTTTGCATGCAAATTGAATGACAACATTATTATGTTAATTACATTCCTATAATCTTTGCATCTGATGTGTAATTCA